TCAGAAAAATCATAGCGAACTAGGTTTTGAACTAGATTATTTGTATTGAAAGTCAACATGTCACACATACAACACTGGTATTAGATAATAGTTTATGGGTTAGTGCTTTAATGGCCAAGCACTCTGATCTTGATTGTCCTGAAAATTTTAGAGACTAGCCCAAGTCCCTTGGTCGCGGCCTCACGACGATTCCCACTTAGTAGAATCCTCCAAATGTACAGTGATGAAATGCACCTTGTAGAAGATTGTCTGCCTTAGATTCATTTAGTGTAAAATCCTTCCTAACCAGTCATTCATTAGCACTGTCACCATAGGGATGGGTAAGAGAACCACTCTTATGATGTCTTCTAAAATAAAATGTGTTGGAAACCAAGTCATGCTTTAAGGATTGTGCCTACTCATTGAACCTCCTTCATGGGGTTGCAATCACAGAGGTTGGGTCACTTCCTTAGGGCTTAACCCATCCCTATCAACAAATAAATATGGATCTAGCCCCTCTAGTCCAGAGGCAATAGTTCCTCAAGTTTATGAATTTATATTTACCTCAATATTTGACTTCACAAGTCATAATAATTTTGAGCATCTCAAGCCATATTTCTCCATCATAAGGTGTACCTTATTGCGCGTCACAATTCTTTTAGAAAATCACTATGTACATACTCATCATGAAAACATATTCAATGTTCCGCCACGGCAACATGGATCCATCAGACAAATATAATCCTTTTTTGAATCGAGAGAACATATTGAATCCGTCAAATATATTTGTTCCAAGTAGTCAATAACCATACTACTGGGAATCACAAGTTTTGGTGACCAATAGTCTACTATTAGGAACTACACAATATGGCCAGTAATCTCATTACTTACTAGGAACCATAAATTTCCTTTCATTTTCCTTCACTTTCCCAGGTGTATATATATATATATAGAGAGAGAGAGAGAGAAAGAGAACATTCAATGTGTATGAAAGCAGTGAAACTTGATATATACATCGAGTAATATCAACCATAATGAGGGAGAAAAATTAATTTACGAAACTTTTAAATGTAAATTGTTTTACACTATATCATGTAAAAGATTTTGCTTAGAAAATATTTTACATACTTTTTGGCCAACTTAACAATGGAAAATTGAAAAATATTTTAAGGCGAAACAAATGGAGCCTTAATTTTAAATTTTGTATCAATTAGGTCCAATTGAAAATGTTGTCCAAGTTTTTTGACAGAAATTTTTTACTAAATTGGTTAAAGTTCAACCACTAAATTGAACAAGTTTGTAATTTTGCTTCTAAAAGTTTGACATATGCCGTTGTGTACACATTTGCCATAAAAAAAATATTAACAATTAGACTAAGTTTGACCAATTTGAAACAAAATTAAAAAAAAATTCAGAATTAAAATTGATCTAATTAAAATTATAATGACTAAAATAACATAAATACCAAACTACATAGACTAATAATTTATGAGCATTGATAGAGAACCCCTCCATTCACCACTCCACCACCCCCACACATACGTGGCGGGTGGTGATTGGAAGAGAAGGAAAAAAAAAAAACAAAAGAAAAAGTAGCCAATCAAAAAAGAGAGGGAGTCAAAGAGGGTGGGGAGAAAGGGGGTCTTAAACATTTTTGATAATTTAATTTATTCTAAATTGATTCTATAATGGACTCATAGGACACAATCAAATACCAGTCACATTTTTTTTCATTTGGCAAGTTTCTTGACCCAATATTCTGGTCCCTAGATTTTTTGTAATGTTAGTGACGTAAGCAACTACATGAGCATTTGGTTTTTTGGAATAAATATCTTTCTTTTTTAGATTGAATATCTAGATATGCATGCAAGTTGCAAGAGTGCCATTTTTTGTGGTTCTCAAAAATTATTAGATATGCTCGGAAGGAAATATTTATTCTTGAGAAATAAGAAATCTCAAACTACAAATGAGAAATCGCAAACATGATATCTCCTGTTGATTGAACAATATTTCATTTCTTGCTGGCTAAATCATACAGGCCACAGTAAAAACGAGAACCTCCGAAATAAATTTCTTTCTTTTTTCCCAAAACTTCACAACTAATGAAGCAGAATATTACATCTTAGTCTGTTTTCCTCAGAATATTACAGTCCAATTTATAGCAAAATTGAGTGACTCCGAAACTCCATCATAAAAAACACATTTACAAATTGTCTCACAATCTGCGTATAAACACAAAATATAGAAGAAAATATGTCCTTGATGACAATACCATACATGGCCAAAGCGTCACCAACTCTTATATATACATTAAGGTCAAGTTTGGCTAATAAAAAAAAGTGCACTTATTTCATCTTTTTATCTTTTTTGGGTCACATCAATCAACATCTTCTCTCTACTTTTTCTACACATAATATAAAAAAAGTCAAAAAGTATACTTATTTAATCTTCCCAAACTTGGCCTAAATATAAGTCACATGAACAGATCAAAGAAGAGTCTATTCCACAGTGAAATGAGGGATATTTTGTTCCACTACAGAAAATTATTTGATTATTGTTCTTATTACAACAATTAATCAACATGAATGTACCAATGACCTAGTGAATACGCTTCATTTCAGTTTTTTCAACATGGTTTCTTAGCTTCCTCCAGCCATTCTTCATTATCTATAGAACATAAATTGCATCAATTACACACTAATAAATTATAGTGTATATTCAAAGATACATTAGTTTGAGACAAATTAGTCTGATGACCAATGAAGTTCCAAATAATCACAATTTAATATTAAAATAATATAAGTGCATTTATACACCAACCCATGATAATATGAAAATACTTCATAATTGTACGACCCACTATATTTTCGTGTTGAGCATGGTTCTAAATCAGGTAATGTAACAATATCAATCACAGAGCATCGGTGTCGGTAGTATCGGTTAGTATGTATCACGAATCAGGTGTTGCATCCGTGAAATTTCTTAACCATTTTTACAGATTTTTCAACACTTTCATTATAATACTAGTCTAAACTAGTGAGTTTCGGCCCGTCAAGACTTGTTTAACAGTTACACCCCATTATATAACGGGAACCGATTGGTTCTTCAACGAATTTCATTCACAGCGATATATCGGTGGTTATCCAAAATAGTGGCTCCATTTTACGTTACAAACCGACCTAACGGCCGGTCTTTAGAACCTTGGTGTTAAGGCCTTGTGGTTAAATTGTTTGATGAGATCTTCAATCAACAATCTCATATTCAAGTATGAAGAACCCCCTACTTCCATTGCCCTCTTTGCCATCTCCCTAAGTTCTCTTGCCCTTCTCTTTCTCTCTTCTCTATCTATTCCTTCACCCATTACTTTCCCCACAGCTTCCCTAATTACCTCTCTTTCCACTAACTCCCCACAGTTCTCTTCTGCAATTAGGTGACCAACCGCCTGAACCCCAATGCTCACTCCAATCACCAAAACCTGCACAACCAACTTCTCATTCAAAAATTGCTCAGAGAACATTGGCCAAGTTATCATCGGTACACCGGCTCACACCCCTTCTAGGGTCGAATTCCACCCACAGTGTGTCAAAAATTCCCCAACAGCCCGATGTGACAGTATGAGTACTTGCGGTGGCCAACCTTGGATTACAACTCCTCTCCCTTTCGTTCTTTCCTCAAATCCATCTTCTTCCACCCACTTCTCTATCTTCTCTGCCTCGCTTCCGCCTCTTATAACCCACACAAACGGGTGTTGAGAAGCTTCCAAGCCTAAACTGATCTCAATTAACTGACGAAGGGAGAGGCCACTAATGCTTCCAAGGCATGCGTAGACCACAGACCCTGGATCTTGGACATTGAGCCACTTCAAACGTTGGCTTTCATCAATGGTGGCCTTGTTTCCTCTCTGAGCCTTGTCCAAGTTGTCTTTGTTGCACAGTGATACCGGCCCAACGCACCAAACTTTATCTCCTTTCAACTTTCAAAACTGCTCGACGTATCTATGTTCTAGCTCTTCAAAACTATTAATCACCACTCCATATGATTCGACTTCAGCAGCTCGTACTCACTCTTGGAAAGCTTGCCATTCCGGTGTACCTAGAGTGCATAATATAGACAGTTGAGCTTTAGTTAACTCAATCCTATCAGGCAAGTCAGGCAACTCAAACGGCTCTAACTCAGATATATTATCATGAAATTTGGAAATACGTAAATTGTGTGAGCATAAGAGAGTGAGGCAGCTCATTCCATCAAAAATAATTCTTGAAATCTGGAACTTGCGACCAGTGTTGCCTACCCATCCAATATGTTTATCAGCTATTATACAACACGGAAATGGCTCAAGCGCTTCAAACAACTGCTCGAATGGTTGTTGCAACATGCCAACGGCATAAAAAAAATTATCAGTAGGTGTGGAGAGGTTAAGGTGTCTACAGTTTCACACCCCTCTGGCATGCCGGCCTCCATGGATGGGAACCGGATGGGACGAAGCCAGAGGGCTACTCCAGATTCGATTACACGGTTGATGGTTGGATGGAATCTAGAGGCAATGACAGGGGTGGTGACAACAGTCACTGCGTGAAAATTGACTTTTAGCGGCGTTTTAAAAATGCCGCTATAGGTACTGAAAACGTCCCTAATTCTTTTTGTGACGTTTAGTACCAAACGCCGACCACGCGGCCGTCGCTATAGCTTTATGGCGTTTGGAAAACGCCGTTTGAAAAACGCCGTTATATTAGTATAGGCGGCGTTCCAAATGTCCTACCCTAAATGTACTGTGACGCCACTATGACATTTAGCAACGTTTTGGAAACGTCGTCAAAGACATTTGTACATTTTAAAAATCTGATTGTTGGTTAGGGATATAGTGACGTTCAAAAAACGCCATAGCCTTTATTTTTATTTTTTTTATTTTTAAAGTTGTGCTAATTTTATATGGTTGAAAAAAATACCTGTCATAAACAATTATTAAGAACTAATAATTGATATTTATTAAAATAATAAATAAACTAAGTTTGAAAACAAAATTAAAAATAAAAAACAATGCAATAAGATGTGATACATGTACAATTACAGAATATATCTAGACACAAAATATATTAGAAATCCGTGAGGATTTATTTACAAAGTCAGGCTTGAAAACTCATGCAGAAAGCAGAGAAGACATTCATACTCCTAATGACACAATACCGATAGTAGCAAAAGCTTGGCCCAGTTCATAAACAAAATTTTCTTTCTAAACGAGGCAAACTTTGTGAATTTGTCCTCCTGCAAAAAGTCACAGCCAAGACCAAATTAGAAAGGTTAATATCAATACAATAGATTGACACATTAGATTAGAATGGAAAATATTAATGCATACAAGTGCATACCCCAAATCAACAATGATGATGCTGACATTATCTTGTGAACGTCGGTCCTCTAATATACATAAATTTGCAGGTATGATCAAGCATTGTGCAAGAAAAATAAACATCTACGCATCCATTACTAGAGCTGCTCTTCCAAGCGCCTCACAAGCTAACAAAAATCAGAACAAAAGAAGTTAAAACTTTGTAAACCATAACACTGGTATACTAGAATTGAGGCAAATTTTTTACCTGAGCATCTCCATGTTGCTGAAGCTGATTCCTAACAAAATTAACTGCTTCTGAGCTGAAAAAATAGCAAAGTTGATGAAATAATACTCATCTTGTGGTTAATTGAGAAAAATATTAAATAAATAACTATCATGCTAATTTAAGATAATTTACAAAATGTAAGTACAAGGTTCAAACAGGAAACCACAAACAACACTGTTAGTATAAAGCACAGTTTTTACGTCGTCATTGATATCTTCATCAGCAGTTCCAAGAGCTATTTCTTGTCTCCACAGATTGCTTTATTGTTTGTAAAGTTGTGTAACAATAAAGGTTTATTTAAAGAATGAAAGTGGAATGTTGATTTACCAGATTCTCATGGAGAAATGTATCCACAGTTGTCCCAACATGCATAATTGCATTAGCATATATTGTTGCACTGTGGCAGACACTATTTCTCAGCTCCACAGACTGCTTTATTATCTTGAGAATAAGAAGATCCGACCTATATGCAAATTATAAAATTAATGAAAAAAGCTTTTCACAATACACAAATGGAACTCCTGAAAATTGAATTTGAGCAAAGCAGAATAAATAAAGAGCAAGAAATTATATCTGTTGTCTCACTTGTTATGACTGTATAAAAATTGTAGAGTCAACTGTATTGAAGTCTCTCCAGACAAAATTCCTTTTATTTTTGTTAGCCTCTCAGCGTAGGTCACTTCTTTTGGATTTGCTTCTTGCACATTCACATTAGAAGCTTGAGTTCCATCGGTCATTTGAACATCCTCAGATGCAGTAGCTAAGTTGTAAATAGAACTACAAGTCTTGAACTACCCAAGGCAATTGGTTTGCCTTTTGATTGATCTGATACCATTGTATTAGGGCAGTATGAAGATAATAATAAGAGAGTGCACTGAAAGAAATTGCTGAAAGAACTGAAAAAAGAAAACACCCAAATCTCTTAAAGAAGATATCCATCCTAGAATTCATATATAAACCACATCTTTCAGACACATACAGAGACAGAATTCAACTTTTCTAAAATAGATATTTAAATTGTGTCTGTGTCCATGCTTCGTAGTTGTTAATGCAATTGTTGCCAATTTCAAATTTACCTAATACTACAATCTTCGATCAAGATTCTTTACTCTACCACCATAAATTTTTTGTGCTGCATGAATATGCTAATTATCAATAGAAATTCAGTTTGACCACATCAAAGAGTAAATTCAACTTAAATTGTGGTCTTGGCTGTATCCAGTTTCTAGATACAGATATATCTCCATGAGAAAAATCACCAACAAACAGTCTACTTCAGAGAATTTTGAGAGATCTTCAACTATCCAAGTCAAATACAGAAAGGTAGAAGTAGAGCTCAATTACATGTATTATGCATAGGTTACATAAACACAAGATTTTGAGCAAATAAATAATTATATTATATAAGTGCAATCATTGTTGATATCAAGCCTATCCTTTCTTGAGGAAATATATATATATATATATATGTACGGGAAAGAAATAAACATTCTCGTATAATCCTGTTGATCAAGTCTGCGCTCCTCCAAACGTCGTCGCTTTACTCCCTAAAAACACAAACGTGATCTAGACGGCGGGTGTGTGCCGGAAGCCCCTCCGATGCCTAAGTCAGCAAAATAGACAAGTAGGCAAAAAGCTCTGTATATCAAAGAACAAAAGTTGTGTTACCTCTCCATAGGTGATGTTTGTGAGCTTTTATAGGTTCCGTGTGGCACAATCCAAGCAGGACTCTTACTCCCCCATGTAGAGTCCTCCTAGGATTCATACTCCCAAAGGATAATGCTTATCCGTTAACACCCCCCTCACTGCTTAAACCAAGTGAGATGGTTATACCATAACCGGACTATCATACAACCGAAATAATATTGCCATGCTAGACTAACTGGAGTGACCGATCTAATTGTTAGTTCGGCTATTCCTTGGTTTTCCCCTACCTCGGCTTCACATGCCAAGACCGAGCTATCCATAGAAGAGCTTAAGCCGAACTAACCCAAAACCAAGTCCTAAAGAGGGCTCAGTATACTTCCTCACTTCTACCTCGGCTTTGCATGCCATGACCGAACTAACCAATTTGGCCGTGGCAACCGAGATAACAACAAGGCCTTCTTGGACCGAGCTAATGAAAAAAGCCATTTTACTCTGCCTTTCTTACTACAGCCCAAAGTGGCCCATTACCCAATCTCGGCCTAATTTATTCATACAAATTACCCTCTCAATTGCCCCTTAATTCCATCTACGCAGCATGACGGGATTACCTTGTCTTCCAGCCGAGCTAAAAAATATAAATCTTACTACCGAGCTAAGCCTTTATGCTTTTCCAGCCGAGCTAAAACTCTTAGCCTTTCCAGCCGAGCTAGGATCACACCGATCTGTACCTGTCCGGTTCAAACGTCTCTGCAATCACAGCAACTGAATCGCTTCTAATCCCTAGGACACGTGGCATACTTTTATTGGCTGAAGGTAGCTATCACATCGTCATCGTACTTCGTGTTTTTTGAACAGTCCTGCCCAAATTTTGGGCCTTGCATCAAAACAAACTCCTTTTGTTTTCTCTTCTTGAACCATTACATCTTCCTATTCACGTCTTCTCTCTCTCTTTCTTGCATTCCTTCTCGTTCTTAAGGAGCTCGTGTTCTTCACTACCACTGCTTCTTCTTCAGTGCCCCTTCATCTGGTAAGTTACTCAAATCTATCTTTCTTTCTTTTGTTGTTTTCGAATTTGCTTTATACAATCCACAACAATCTGTTTCATGTGTTTTTACGAAATACTGTTTTTACTTTTTTGTTGCCTTATTTTCTGGGGAAAAAATTCATGAGAACGCCTTGAACTTTACGAAGAATTCTGTAGAATACTCTGTTTGATTCATAAACACGTCTCAACCAAACTAGGATACTGTTTATGTTATGTGTAAGTCTAGCCAGACTATTCAACCGAACCAACACTTGTACCAGTAGTTTTAGCAAGTCAAAAAATCATCTTTTTTCTGATTTATCTTAGCCGAGATAACAAACCAAACTAGATCTGCACTTAGTGTGTTTGAAGGTCTCAATTCTGACCGAACTATCTTGGGGCTAAACCAGCATTCGTAGTTCAAACCGAACTAAGAAAGCTGCCCCTAGAATTTTAACCGGTCTAACAAATCACTTGCCCCAACCGAGCTACCAGGCACCTTGCTAAAACCGAGATAGGACCTGCAACATTTCACAAAGTCGAAGTAGGACTTAACTTGTTTCTACTTTGTAGCATGGTCCTAAGATCTGTGCTTAACACTTCTGTTTTTCACTTTGCAGACTTAGGTTGCCCAGGGACTCCTTTTGATCGCTCAACCGAGCGACGCAGCAACATTTTTCGACCGAGCTAGCACCAAGAATAATTTATACATAACTTAGGAGTAAATGGGTAAATATAGGTTCTTAGTAGAAACACCAGGTGGCTTGGCCGAATTCTGAAGGGATTATAACATCCCTGACGATGTCCACCTAACTTTAGCCGAAAAAGATGTTATTCCTTGGGGAAACCAGGGCTTTGTACCCTTCACCCTTTTATCAATAATAGAAACCGGACTAAGATTTCCAGTCCAACCCTTAATTTGTGAATTCCTTAGGCAAACGAGAATATGCCCAACCCAGCTTTCCACCAACTCATACCGCATAATAATGGGCATGGCCGAGCTAAACCGCCGAGCTGGCATTAACCTCGGTTTAGCCGAAATCTTCCACCAGTACTCCATAGGGTCAAAAGAATACGGATGGGTTTACTATCATAGAATACGCCACCGCCGAGAAAAAATAATAAAAGACACACCGGACAAAGACTTGAATGATGATGACTTTTTCTAGGTGTCTGGCAATTTTGAAGACCAGCAAGCCCAGATCCCTGGCCGAAGTATAAACTGGAATAAAGGAGAACCTGGTATAATTACTTCGGTTTGTTGTCATGCTTTGTTTTATTTCGGTCACCTGCTCTTGAACCGAACTAACAGTTTGTCTTCTTTATGTAGATTCAGCCCATCTTCAATCCCTGTACAGTTACCCCAACCTGAACACTATCCGCGCCGCACTTCGTTTTCCATAAAGAAGTTGGGCCAAACTTCTAAATTTCGAACCGACATACAGATATAGTGGCCGCCGAAAAGCCAGAGTAATTGACTTGTTGTTAGAGGACGCCCCCGAACTGGACCTAACCTTGCCACAAATTATACTAATCCCACTGACTGCTGAAGAAGAGATGGCCAAAAGGAACAGAGTTAGGGCTCTCTTGACCAAGACTAACAGGACCGAGGTACCACCACCAAACCAAACACAAGAAACCGTGGTGGCCTTACCATCACAACAACCTTCCACATCACGTCGAACTAAGCGCGCCCGTAGTACCCAGGCCGAACAATGCTTAGTTGATGAAGACGAAACCACTCTGCCACCAAGCCCTCCACCGAGCTCGCAATCGGAGCACGCCGACCGAGCCAGCTCTTCCAAATGGGCACCCAAACTGACTTTCCAAAACCGTGATATTCAGGACACTGATTCAGTTGTTGCTGAAAAAGACCATTTCATGGCTTTTAACCTTGCCGAGAGTGTGTGCCTCCTAGCTGATATGGAGCACCACAAGAACTTGATCAAGCTGAAGGTCATCCACTCGGCCACGAAATCCATGATCCTGGTAAGTTGTTCTTCTTGTCTCTCTAAATATCACCAACTTTCTGTTCGGTTTTGACTTTAGTTTCTTTTTCAGGCCGTACAAAAGGGCCAAATTGCGCATAAAAAGGTGTTGGAGCTCAGGAGCACAGCAAGGCAAGCCATGGCAGAGATTGAAGCAAATATAACCGAGCTGAAGGGGTCCCACCAGAAAACAGCCGAGCTAGAGGCCGAGGTAGCTCGTCTGACCGGACTAGTTACCTCGGCCGATGCAGACAAGCAAAAGGCCCTAGCTGTGATGAAGGATAAGTACCTTCGTGAGCTAGTCAAGCTCGAAGGTAAGAAGGATGCCGAGATAACGGAGCTGAAGAAGAAGGCAAAAGACGTCGAGCTCCGGGGTTTCAAGGAGGGCGAAGCCCTTTATATCAAACAATGTGAAGCTGCCAAGGATCTTTTCTTCAAATGCGGTTGGATGGCGGCTGTAGAGCAGCTCGGTCACGGTCTAGGGACCGAGGTCTTCAACGCTCCAACATACTTCATTCCGGGCTCCATGGCGGACTATGCTGCTTCTCTTCAGCAACAGTTTCTTGAGGACTCAGATGATGATGAAGAAGCTGCGCCAAAGGATACTCCGGCTGTCAGTGACCCTAATGAACAATTAGTTCGGTTGGAGCCACTAGTGGAAGACCTGACCGGCGAGTTGCCTACCGAAACCGTACCTCCAGCTGACACCGAGCTCTCAACCGAGGCCTTGCCACCGTCCAAAACCGGGCTTCGTGTTGATATTGATGCTGATCTTGATGCTGATCTTGATGCCGAAATAGATGATCTTTTTAACTGATTTTGTATCTTCTTTTTTCTTCCTTTTTTTTTTGTAACCGGGCTGTGGCCCCTCCTATGTACTTGTTTTGAGTTTAATCAATGCATTCTTTTGTTCTAACTGTTATCTCGGTTTGCTTTCCTGTTTTTGCTTGCTTTCGAACTGCAACTTTGAACGAAACACAATATTTTTCGGCCGAGATACTTTATTCCGGTCTTAGCTGAGCAATCTGACTGAGCATACTAGCCAACCACTCTTTAGCCGATAT